CCCCAAAACCCCAAAACCCCAAAACCCCAATTAGATAATTATATTGAAAAACATATTTCTAGTATTAGTAATGAACGCCGTACTTCTTCAGGATGGCCAATGTCTTACTAATCTTCGGAGCGGGAGACATGAGCTTCTTCAACTTCTGTTGTCTCCTGATCTTCCTGACATCAATATTGGCCCTTCTCCTACGGATACATCTGAGGACTTGGTGATCTAAGTCCCATTTGAGCATGTTTTCATACACATTTTCTACAGAGTTTCACTTGGAACTTACCTAAGTCATAATCGTCAATGTTAAATTGCTGGTTGATCCATTCCTTGCTCTCGATTTCTTTATTGATAGCATCGGAATACTTCTGTTGGTCTTTGATGAATTCAGGAACTGCGCAGTAGTACACTGTGCCAGAGTTGCTGACAGAGACATGTTCTGACTCCTTAAAGTCATGATTAAGGGTCATCAAGAGGCTGCCTCCCTTCTTGACAGTGTTAATAATCTTCTCAAACTTCCTCTTTTCCAGGTCCTTGATGAGGTCATTTTGAGTCTGATTACCCTGTGTTGAAAATAGCTTCGATCTCTTTCTGCGTGCTTTTCTTCGAACTTTTCTCGTCATTTGAATTCTGCACTGAGGCTAGAGGTTTATTAGCTAGGTGTTAAATATGCACTCTTAAATTTAACAAAAGATTTTACTCGTACATTTTTCAGAACTTTCTTGTTCTTGTTGACTTCCACTCTATATTTTAATAATCAGACGCTGGAGAAATTTACAAGAGAGTTAATATAATTTGCAAAAGTTCAGTTAATCCATAGGGAAAATTTTAAAGCTCTTCATAAAATATTCATGCAATCATTTGGAACCCAGGCGTATCAAAATATGATAAAAATGCACTAAATCAAATAGAACAGTCATTTTATCACTCTTTGGCTCCTTCAAACCAGTATCTCGCTTTTATTCGATCCCCAAAATTACCTGTGAAGTCATCTTAATTGTAATCATCATGTCGTCTTCCTCCATTTTCAATAATTATAAAAATAAGCGGGGTTTTGGGGTTTTGGGGTTTTGGGGTTTTGGGGTTTTGGGG